GAGTCCCGTCCCGCTCCAGCGCTCTCCATATCGTCGCCCTCCAACAGTACGTACGGCTGAGTGTGCTCTGCCTCTGTTAATAACCCCAAGCTCCTCCAATTATCCATACCATTGCCCTTTGCCTATTGGTTTAGTACTACGACGACAATCTTTTGTTTTTTGTTTTACCATATCAATTTTTACCGTTTGATACCAATAAATCAATGTGAGACTTAAACTTTTAATTTATCCATTTAAAATTATGAACTTGAATACGTGGGGCAGTGAATGCCTCCTTAAAATTAAAATAGTATTTTGTCTGTGAACCAATCAATAACCCATATAAAATTCAACCTCAGTGTAAAAAAACTATGGAAATCAAATTATGAAAATTCTCAAACCGACCCTTGCAATTGGAAAAATTGCTCATATTTATAAGCAACAAAATTGCAAATCAAACTGATTAAAATCATCCACAATAATAGTTGCATGCAACCAATCAGAACATATATATATTTATCTAACTACAAATCCTTGAAATGACGAGAACTTAACTAATTACATCACTTATTCACTTGAATAGATTAAATTTAGAATTTAAAGCTAATATTCTTATTAACCAACCTAGCCACAAGAGTAAAATTTGATTTTTTTTTTTCACTTTTAACTTTGTTTTATTTTTAAATTATCGTACTAATATATATATGTAAGGTGACGTGAAGAAAGATTGAACCTTCAATTTAAGGAAGTTAATTGGTATTTTATTCACTAAGTCATGCTCAAATCAATAATAATCCTACTGATAGCATTAGCCACATATTTAATATCTTTGCACATTATATGGAAATTTAGTAAAAGATACATCAACAAAATTACGCTTAAACCCACAACTTCTACGTGGACAGGGCATACATCGTACTTCATTCCCTTTTGAGTTGGCCCCAATGCAATACATCTTTCGTCGCTGAGTGAACAACTTACAAAAAGAATTAATTTATATACCAAAAATTCGAATTAGTTAGAGAGGGAACAATGGAAAGCAGCGAATGAAGAGGAAAAGGTAAGAGTTTGTTATTTATAAATAGAGGTAGGTTTGGAATATTTTTTGTAGTGTTAAAAAAAGGCTTTAAATATTAAAGAGAAAATTATAATAATAACACAACAATAATATGTATCTATATATACAACATCGGGTTTAAAATTTAAAAAGATGACGTAAATTGTAGATTTATACAATCACACGAACTATTTGTTACTTTTTGGAAAAAAAAAATAACATATTTTTATAGATATATATTTATTTTATGTCATTTAGTATAATTTTTCAACCTTTAAAAATACTTTCAAATTTTTTTAATAATATTTGATTGCATATCTAAAAGTGTGCGTGTATATATATTTAGTGCAACATGTGGGATCTAGAAGTAATTTTTTAAAATTTGAAAGTACTTAAAAAGTGATTATAGAAATAAATAATTGAGATTTACTTCTAAAAAATGTATGTAAAACAAGTATTTTATTTTCAAGGTGCCTTTTTTTTTTTAAATAATCCCAACTCACTATTTTTTTTTTGACGAAATAATCCCAACTCACCATTAGTATTAGTATGAGAAAAACATTTGAACCCCATTTTAATCTTTTATATATTGCTAAATTGTTGTCAATTTAATATATGATCAAAGGTGCATTAAAATATATATATATATATATATATATATATATATATATATATATATATATATATATGGTTCTATTTATTTCAATGATAGATTTAATAATTTAAACAAAAAAAAAACCACGGTTCATTTTTACATTAAAAAAAAATTATATATATATATATATATAATTACAATCCAACGTATTATAGCAACCTTACGTTTTATGTTCAAATTGTTAAGGATTAATCCAAGTATAACTCGCCTAATAAAAATAGTAGTAATCTTCTTTTTAAAGTTCCAAATTTTTACCTTTTTATTACGTGATATTTTGAAAAGAATAAAAAAAAAATATTTATATCTCCCAGTACCAAATTTGTACCTTTTTGTTTGAAATGTGATATTTCAAAAAGAATAAAAAGAAAATAATTTATACCTCTGATTATTTATGAGCAAGTCCAAATTTACAGCTTTATTTATATTTATTATTTTGTTGTTATATGAAGTATACTTAATTAATTGTTAATATATCACTAGTTTAATCAATAATTTATTAATGTTACACAATTTCTTTAAAAATAAATTATTTAATTCTATAACGATTAAGGAGAACCAGCCATAGTTACAAAATTAAAATGTTACCCTACGCTATTTGTGACCATTTCTTCAATGCGATTTCAAATAGACAAAGATTCTGAAAACAGAAGTCGGACCGAATAAAGCCGCCAGTTGATGAAAATACGAAGTGGTTTCTGGATGCAAGCCCAGTGTGGAGACTGATAAGAATCAAGTTCTCGCTCCCGCTCCCGCCAATTTTATCAACTATTATCGACTTCTTCTGCTTGGAGGGAAACCAACACGGATCCTTGTATTCGAGGTATGTGCTTCGGAAAATCTTTGTGCGGAAACAGGCCATGGCCACCAATCTTTGGATTTGTTCTCCAAACTTCTAGCTTTACTGGTGGTAGCTTGGTAAAAGAATATTGTCTTCTGTGTTGCGGATCAAGTGTTTGATGAAAAGCCGATATGTTGAATTTCATGAAATAAACTTGGGATAATTTTATGAACTGATTGAACTTCTCCCTCAATTTTATCACACATATTYATGTAAGTTGTACTTTCTCGTTCAACTTTTAATGTTTGATGTGTTGGATACTTAACATATCTCCCTCATCTATGCTCGTTTTGTCGCCGTATTTTTCTTCTTTTCCTATTTCATTTAGTACGGTCGCGGTCAGATGTTTTTCTTAACGGTTAATTGCAGCTTTCAGGGTCTTCATTGACTTGAATAAACCAGAGAGCCAACTTTTCTGGGATGATTTGCTCAAATTTGTAGAACATTAACTCAACTATGGCAGCGACAAAGCCTAGGACAAGCAGCTTCTCACGCAACTTTTCTTCTGCACATTCATCTCAGGCCCCAGGACTTAAACATGGTCCCAATGGCACCACATTCATCTCATCTGGAATACCAGACCTTGACAGTACTTTCTGCATCATATTCTTTAGTTCAAAATTGTTGGAAATCTAAATGTTGAAGAGTTGTAATTTATAACCAAATTCTACATTGGGAGTAGTCTCAATTTCTCCATTTTTTTTCCTTTTTGTTGCAGAAATTCTTTGTGGTGGGTTTCCTTTGGGAAGCTTAGTCTTGGTGATGGAAGATGCAGAAGCTCCACATCACATGCTTTTATTGAGGAATTTTATGTCTCAGGGACTGGTTCACAACCATCCCCTGCTGTATGCTAGTCCATCCAGAGACCCAAGAGGGTTCTTGGGTACTTTGCCGAGTCCAGGGACATCCAAAGATGATAAATCTCGTGACAATTTTGCTGAACAGGTGCTCCATTTTTCATTAATTTTTGCAATTATTTTTCTTTGAGATTTGGATGAAAATATGTTAGATATGATTAGATTCGTTTCAGGAGAAGGGCTTAAGGATTGCTTGGCAATATAAGAAGTATTTTGGCGACAGTCAAGAGAGTGTCAATAATCTCATCGGTAAGCTTATGGAGACCTCAACCTTATACCAAAGAAAGAGAGAGAGAGACCTCAACAGTTAAAAGTAGTTATTTTTTGCCTGTGTTTTTTCCTTACCTCAATGTAGGAACTGAACTAGCGCTTATCGGATATCATTTATGGTAAAGTTTTCTGTAAAAAGTACAGCCTTTGGTTACAAACTTTTTGCAGAATATTATGTAGTTCATGTTTCTTGCGTTCCCTGTAAACCTCCTAGGACTTTATCCCATTTTTTTTAAGGCTGGGTGCGGTGCAATTCTTATTGACAATAATTATTTAATGCTTGTACAGATAGTAAATACGAGTTTTGCCATGACTTTGATTTGCGAAGGCCCTTTGATAGACACTTTTTCAGCGGGAAGCATGTGGAATGTGTTAGTATTCTAGGTTCTCCAAGTATTTCTACTTTACATGATCGTTGTGCCACATTCTTGTCACAAGTTCCAAGGTACTGATTGCCTCTCTATTTTCAAAATACACATGTTCAAGTCATTGCATATTTAATTTGAACTTATTGTAAAAACATGTCAAGCAACCATTCTCGTTTAATGTAACAAAGAAATATTGGCCTGTCTTTGAGGTGGCTGGTGATGAAATAAGTTGAATGGAGACCTTGGGTCAAATTCTGAATCTCATCTTTGGTTGGCCTTTGGGACAAAGTTTGATAAACATCAATAGGGTCGTCTCCAATGTAGAGTTGAGTACAGCTGTTGGGAATGTAATTGGCATCAAATTGCATCATGTAGCGTTTTCATGAAATGTAGATGTTTTTGCCAAATGTTACCACCGGAGTTCATTTTTCTACCCTCTGATTACAAGAGTAAGAACTTTTGGCCAATATGAAACAAATGATTCAGAATTTTGTCTATAGTTCTTTATCCTGTTTTCAGATTTGACATTCTAGAATACTTTTTCACTAGAGCGTGAGGGGTGTGGGGTTCAAGTTGGTATAATGTCTCAATCAGGGCCTGGTTTGATTTTTTCTCTTGATTGTGAGTAATTGGAACAAATTCATGAGGGTGGAGGACTTTGCTCCTCATACATTGTTGTATGGCGTCTTGAATCTTTACTGAGGCCCTTCTTTCATCTGTCAGTGCTCTGCATCCTTGTGCATTCTCTTATTTTTGTGAATGAGAGTTCTGTTTTTAAAAAGACAAGAAATGGGAAAAGAAAAAGTGAATCTGTGAGTTGGGGTACACTGAAGTTTATTTATTTTTTGTTTGCAACGTATTTTTATATATGAATGCACGTTCTGTTATCTGTATGATCATCATCCTCTGTAGCCGACAGTATATTTTCACTGACTATGATGTCATGTGACAATTCCAGAAATGATGCCAATATATCCTCTGCTGGCCGTATTGCCATTCAATCGTTATGTGCTCCACAATGCGAGCATTCCAACATGGTTAGTGACAAATTGAATTTATCTTTTTTGACAACCATAATAATGATTGGTTGCCAAATTCCAATAAATTGTTAAAGCTCCATGCACACGTTCCTCTACTGAAGATTTAAAACGTCTTATCAGATTTGAACAACTTTGTTGCCTGTTTCTAAATTGTAACCCAATAGTTTTCCCTTTACTCAGTCATTTGAACTCTTGTTGTAAAACTGGAGCTGCAGGAATGGGAAATGCTTTCCTTTTTAAGGTCTCTGAAAAGCATGCTAAGGTCCTCAAATGCCGTAGCTGTAGTGACGTTTCCGCCTTCTCTTCTTTTGTCGTCMTTCTCTAAAAGATGGCAGCATATGGCAGACACATTACTTTCTGTCAAAGCAATCCCAGGTTCAAACTTGGTAACTCAATTTGCATTAGTGTCTCTAGCATCAATGAGATATTGACTCATATAATTATTGTAGATGAGGATAAGGAATTAACAAAGCTCCTCACTGGTTACCAAGACATGGTTGGCCTTCTCAATGTGCATAAAGTAGCTCAAATCAATACACAGGTATGCATACCCGTAACTTAGGAATGGTGAAATGGTTCTTGGGAAACTTTTCTTTCAATGCTAGCTGCTTTATTGTTCTGCATATTTCTATTGATTTTGGTTCATATAAGTGCCAAATGGTTAACTCTGAGGTTATACCTGCAATATGTGCTGAGTGTACCTCTGCATAGTTGTCTTGACTCTTAAAAGTTGTATATACCATTCTAATCTATCTATTCCTTTCTGGGTTTGATATGCATCATTATTTGTGTTGGTTTAATATTTCTGGGGTTTCCAAAAGTTGTTTCCATCTCTGTTGTCTTTAAAAAACGTCAGTGTTTAATCTCTTTCCTGGAATTTGTAAATTGAAATACTTCCTTTCCCTCATGGCTGCTGTATATTTTTCATTTTCCCCTATTAAAGATCTGATATCTCCTTTTAGATTGTTTCCAATCATACTTCGCTTCAAACTTCGGCTGCAGGTTCCTAAGATTCTTGAGGCTACTACGTTCTCTATAAAGTTGCAAAAGAGAAGGTTTTTAGTTTTAGAATGTCTTAATCAAGCGCCTATTGATGGTTCGAGTGGGAGCTCATATGGCTCTACTGGGAGCTGTTCTGGATCCTCTAAGACAGGTACTCTAGAGTTTTAGTATCCAAGTGATGCTAGCATGAAGAGTTGGAGAGCTGAATGTTTGAAGTTAAGTGTGAAGTTTAGGTTGATTTTGATTGTCGAATATTTATATTTTTCCTTTGTCACAAATAACGTTATTAATCAACCCACCTCTCTGGTCTCCATTCTTGTATTTTAAAAATTCCTCTAAATATTTAGAAACAAGGGAAAAGATATACTTTTAAAAGAAATAYCTTTAGTCATAATTCATTAATATTTAGTGATATTAAAGTTATTTTGAGTTCATTGGTAATTTACRCAGGTAAATAGGAAGTTTGATTCATTAAGTTAATGTCTTTGTGAAACGTTTATTCTTGAACAGACGCATAGAAGTCCATTTTAGCTGAAAAGATGGAAAATTATATTCCTTCTCTTGAATAAGCCAAATTGGTGAGAGGCCCAAACGAATGTAACTTGCTACTTCTACTTTTTAGAATGTCAATACTAATGTCGGCGCCCACAATTAAATGTGACTCTCTCGGACATGACATGTAAACAACAAAAAGAGTGTGTGAATCGAAAATTTTTAACTATTACCTAGTACCATACCCTCTTTATATCATGGTTCTGCCTTTATAAATTATTTTTTACTATTGGTACTCTACATTACTTTTAATATGATGTTGATGTTGATGTTGATGTTTCGTATCAATATTTATTCTTCTGTGGTATCAGAAGTTTAGTTTTCTTGCGTATGAATCAGATGTTTTATTATGAAATATTTGCCTTTCCGCTTGCTTCTTTTTCTGACTGACCCTCACCACAATTGTGGCTTTCACTGCTTCAACTTTACACATTAGCTTAAAATTTTCTCTACTATTCTAATTTATTGTAAGCTAACTCCTAGATGGTTAAGAATATGTGGAGTTTGTAAAAAAGAAAAAAAGGAAGGTTAAATATATTTTTAGCCCCTCTTACGTTTTTATTTTCTCCTTTSGATTTAATTCTTACCCTCTTAAGAATGAATAAACTATCACTCAACCYAAAAGTTTAAGTTAATGGGTTGGGTCAATTTAATTCATTTATATGGATTTTAACATSTTCTTTTATGTGCTTGAAAAACTAATTCTTATTTCTAATATTTGTCTGTGACTTTTCTCCTTTGTTTTATGTTCTTTTTATTTTTAAAAGTGGGACGGCATGACAAGCAATCGTTTTAAGAAACAATGAATCAATTGTATTAAATAAGAGAAAATTATTTATATATAATTTTTAAATTATAAAATATAGGAGGATAGATTATATATATATRTATGTATATTTTGAATTTAAGATGAACGAAAGATCGCAACYCCATATCATTTCTTCACTTCACCTCCTATATGTTCCACTAGATTAAAATTTGAAAATGTAGCATTAAATTGAAAAAAAAAAAGTTAACAGATGATTTTTTATTGATGTCAATTGCGGTTTTTTTCTTTAATAAATAGTTTAGTGATGAGACATTCAAATACAACATTCAAATTGTTTATACCTATTACGTTGAAATATTGTTCATAGTTCACACTTCACATTATAATTATTTTCCATGCTTTGTTAGGGTAATTAGTTTTTGACCTTAATTTCTTACCGTTTATGGTTAAGTTTTTAATGGAAACAAAAATAAAATTTTACCACAAATTTACCACCCGTGTAAAWTTTTCAAACTTTTAGTTTCATCCGATTAAAATGTAGATTTAAACCAAGTGTTACAATTTTTTATCTTATTTTAGACTATGGTTCAACTTACCCATTAACTTCATTTGATAAAATATTCCAAAACTGACTAATTTTAATGGAAATCAACCATAGCGAAAAAATAAGCTCGATTGAATCAACTATCGAATAAATCTKCTAAAAGTCACAAATTTCAATAAAAAAAAAAAGAAAAAGAAAAACAAGCTATATGGTGATGTATTTCTTGCATCTTTAATCAAATYGAAGGTAAATATTAGAACATTTAACTAAGTCTAAGGTGTAATTTGATTAAATTGAAAATATAGGATAAAAATTGATAGAGAAAAATTTTCCTCTTTTATTAAAACCGTTGATTGGTTGAAAAAAATATTCCATTATTTTTAGAACATTAATAAAAAAAAGTATAATACGTAAAAATCCGAACTAAAAAATATACGCTTTTAACCAATTAAGCTAGATTCAATAAAAGACATTGATACAAATATGATAAAATGTCAAAGGAATCTCTTAACTAATCTAAATATTATAAATCTTTTTTTTTTATTGAGAATTATTATAAAGCATTAACTTGTACGCCAAGTTGATTAATCTAGTATTTTATTACAAGCATCAAGCTTAATTACAAAAACTGGTGACAYAGTGAACAAACTAAACCCATCCAATTCATTGCACCCATTTCATTTGTTTCCACTTTTCCCATAAACTATTCAATGCCCTTTGTTTATAACAAGGAGACGGCCACAAGCATCTGTATTCTTTATTCAAAATTAAGTTTTTTTTTTCCCTCATAGAAGGCGTCTTAACTAATTCATGTTAACGATTTTAAATTTTTGTTCATCAATAATATCGTGCTTCACAAATTCCTCTTGGTCAAATTCAAAKCAAATTATTTAGAATTAGAAAATTTAAAGAATCTAAATTAACCGACCCTTTCGTATCAATAACCTTTTCGCATGTTTAGCAATTTTTCTCGTCACGCACATTTGCAAAAAAAAAAAAAAAAATGGAGGAAACCACGTGGCAGTCTTGGATTGGGGAACGAGGGCGGAGTATTTGGAAATTTCGTGTGGAAGGGAAGCAGTCTCGAATTTGTGATGGCCTCCGAAATTAAATGCCGACCACCTAAGTGGGCCCCCCCCCCAATTTCACTCAGCTGAGCTCACCCATTATGTCAGTACGGATTGACCCGACCCGGCCCTATTTGTGGGCCCCGCACACCCACTCAACTGCCTGTCCTTTTTCGCTATAAAGCGGCCTTCGCCATTCACAGACCTTGAAATCTGCAGCAAGTTTCTCCCGCCATTGCCCAATTGTGTGCGCTTTGCAGAGGGATCTTCGACATTTTTCGTTTCCAGATCTGGTTTCTGTTCTTGCGGCGAGGGGGGAAGAAAATGGCRACGGGAAAGTCACCGGAGCAGGAGCACCCCAAGAAGGCCTTCGGATGGGCTGCCAGAGATACCTCCGGCGTTCTATCTCCCTTCCATTTCTCCAGAAGGTTTCCTTCTCTTCCCTCTCTTCTTTCTTTCTTTCTTGCATCGTATTCTTTATTCTTCATTCCACTGGTGAAATGCGAATAACCTGAAAGATAATGAAAAACGATCTGATTCTTTATTTCTTGAGAAAATGAATCAACTGTTCGAGGGAATCGGTTGCAACACCTGCAGCCGGTGGCCGGTAAGAATTAAAAGGTTTATAATGACTATAGTTTCTTTTCCAGCGGGGAGATCGAACTCACGGTGTTTTGATTCGTTGTTAGCTCATTTTAGCATGACTCCAGGATTAGTTGAAGTATTAGTATTTAAAAATTTGATTAGTATCTTCCTAATTAATTAATGGTACTTTTGAAACCCTTGTGGACCCTCATAACACCTCCCATGGTTAAAAAGTTAAGTAAACCCCTAAAATTTTGCTTTAACCTATTACTTTGCTTGCTTGCTTATGGGAATTAGTGCTGATTTAAAATTTTGAGAATGTCATTATACCTACTACCCACACCACGAGCGAGCGAGTATTAAATCTCAGTACACTTCACTTGTTATTAAAAAAATATTTTAACAATAAGTCATAATCTATATATTTGGGGTGTGATATTGAAAAAAGAAAAGCCAGCTCATTTTAAAAAACAAATATAAGTTTTTTTGGGAAGTCAATAAGTAGCTCTTTCTTAATTAAGAAATATCCATTTGCCAATCTAAACGTAATTTAGTTGAGAATTTGAATTCATACTTTATGTTTTACTAATTGAGTGATTCTTTTGCYCCAAAAAAAAAAAAAAAAGAGTTGAGTGATTATTGGTTGGCCACGTCTTCCGAGTTAGTGCTGGTACTTGTGGCCCTACCTCCACCTCGGTATGTTGGCCCATAATTTTGTATTTATTATTATAATTTTGTTTTGCGGCATTATTGTTAAAAAAAAGGCTATGGTATTATTGGAAACTCTGCCTATGATTAAAAAAAAAGTTATGGTATTATTAAAAAGTCTGCCTCTGATCCAGTTAATTATTCTTTTTTAGTATAACGGGGTGTAGACAGATTGGCCACTACATTATGTTTCATGTTTTACTATTTTAGTCAAATTATCCATCACATTTGAGAAAACATACTTAATTCCTCCATTTTTGACAGCACACTTCTTACAAAAAAAATAAAAAAACCCCTCCATTTTTCCTTTTTTTTTTAGGCATGTGATGATAGTCAGGAGGTCCTGACTGGTAAAAACCCCAAGTGTTTTTCATTATTTTAAAATGAGTAGAACCAGTTTACAATTAAAAAAGGAAATTGAAATTGAACAGTAAATAAAATTTTGATTACGTAGGCTGCACAGACACCAGTAATCGCTTTTGATTGTGCTTTGTTGTGGTGTGTGGTTGAACCGATGAAATGTGGTTGCAGAGAGACAGGTGAAAAGGATGTGGCCTTTAAAGTTATTTATTGTGGAATATGCCATTCCGACCTTCACATGTTGAAGAATGAGTGGGGCAATACCGTCTACCCCTTAGTTCCTGGGTGCGTAACCTCTTATCTATCTTTTCTCTCTTTAATTATTATGCTTTTCACCTTAATCCATTTGTATTCTTACCCAAGTTTTACAAACAAAAATAAGTTTTTGATTAACAAACAGAGAAATTGATTGAATTGAGTGATGTTCTTAGTCGGAAGTGTGGTTTGTTTGGATATTTGCAGGCATGAAATCGTGGGAGAGGTGACGGAGGTTGGAAGCAAAGTAGAGAAATTCAAGGTCGGGGACAAGGTGGGCGTAGGATGTATGGTGGGATCCTGCCGCTCCTGCGACAGCTGTTCCAACCAGCTCGAGAATTACTGCGCCAAAATGATTCTCACCTACGGTTCCAAGAACACCGATGGGACCATGACCCACGGCGGCTACTCCGACTGCATGGTTGCCGACGAGCATTTCATCGTCCGCATTCCGGATGGCATGCCTCTGCACGCGGGCGCTCCGCTGCTGTGCGCTGGCATCACCGTTTACAGCCCCTTGAGATACTATGGCCTTGACAAGCCTGGAATGCACATTGGTGTGGTCGGCCTAGGCGGCCTCGGCCATGTCGCCGTCAAATTCGCCAAGGCCTTCGGCGTTAAGGTTACTGTTATCAGTACCTCCCCTAGCAAGAAGCAGGAAGCTGTGGACCGTCTTGGGGCTGATTCCTTCTTGGTCAGCCGTGATCAAGACCAAATGCAGGTGACAATTGTCCAAATTATATTATAAATGTTTGTATGCATGAGTATGGATTGGTATTGATTTATGGATGTCAATGTTTTCTTSGTGTAGGCTGCCAGGGGGACGTTGGATGGTATCATAGACACAGTCTCTGCTCTACATCCTCTCCTTCCTTTGCTCGCCCTCATCAAACCACATGGAAAGCTTGTTATGGTTGGTGCACCGGAGAAGCCGCTCGAGCTCCCGGCCTTTGCTCTTATCGGCGGTAAGCTTTTAGTTAACTTTTATACACATAATCTTTGCTCCTCTGCATCCATTACAACTAACTGTAATTTCTTTTTGACACGGCGGTAACAGGTAGGAAAACAGTGGCCGGTAGTTGCATTGGAGGGATGAAGGAAACTCAGGAGATGATTGATTTTGCGGCCAAGCACAATATAACTGCGGATGTGGAGGTGATCCCGATCAGCGACGTCAACACTGCCATGGAGCGGATGCTAAGACAAGATGTCAAATATCGATTCGTCATTGACATTGCAAAGACAATGAAACCTAGCAATTAAGAGAGATACCCCTCAGACGTTTGTCAACTTCCCGATGCGAGTGTGTGTCCTTTTCCTCCATCAAGTCATGTTTTGGTAATTGCATTATGTTGTTAATGAGCCAACTGTTTGGTTCTCATTTCTGATACTTTTTGGATATAGAAACAACAGCCAAAATTCAGCCTAGTTCTGAAGGCATTAGTAATCTCAGATTCATGGTTTGAACTTCTACCTTCCCATTTGTTTTGTTTGATGCTATATTTTTAAMTGTATATAGAAACGGAAAAAAAAATGAAGAAAAAAAGAGAGGGGAGAGAGCTGAGACTGGATATCAAAAATGTGTACCACTAACCAAACAGCAAATTATCACAGTATACAAGACTGAGACATAAAGAAAAAAAGGAAAATTTCTAATGATAAATTGGCGCCCACCCTATTTGGTTTTGACAAAATAATTTAAATGAACAAATTGGGCCACCCTAAGCCTAATTGGGTGCACAAAATAATTGAAATGAATAAATTGGGGTTTCACACTACACCTTCAAGTCGTAGGTAGTCGTACATTACTCCTCGGAAAGGCCCCTTGGATCTTGACTGCGTCAGATAGATTACATTATTTTTGTCCTCAACCAAATATTCACTGGGAACATCGAAGCTGAATAGCCAGTAAAGCCCGTGAATGCCATGCCTTGCGATCGCGTTATCCTTCCCAATCGACCACGGCCCCGTTGAGAAATGGGCCGGTTCCACCGTCGGGTTGTTGAACCGGACTTTCACCACAGACTCCGTCGCGGAGGCTATGGCCAACCGGAGCGTGTAGTTCCCGGTCTGTTTTGGCCCTTTTAGCGGAAACACTATCTGCCACGTGGTTGGCTCGTAG